AATTACTGTTTTTTTTATTAATATTACTTTTTTTATAATTTTTAAATATAAAATTAATTAATTATATATCTAAATATATATATTTAATTAATAAAAGTTAAATTAACTTTTATTAATTAATTTATATAAATAAAGTTAATTTAATTCCTTTTAACCTTTAAATCTTATTATTATTTTATATTTATTTTAGCTTTACTTTTATAGTTTTAAATTATAATTAACTTAATTTATATATTAATTTTATATAACTAAAAGGATATAATATATATATTTATTATCTTTTATTTATATTAATAATATATTAATATTTAGCTAGTCTTTATAATTATAAACTAGTTATATACTATATAGTATAATCTATTTTTGCCCTCCTTTATTAATAATTATTAACTTTTAGTAACCTATTTAAACCTATATAAAACTTAATATATTTTCCTTTTATTATATATTACCTATCTTCTTTAATGTAAGCAGTATTTCTATTAATTACTTTTTAATATCTTAAAGCTATTTACTATATAAGCCAGGTAAATAAAGGGCCTTAAGGAATATCTTCTATTTTTACTATAGCTACCCTTTATTAAAAGCCTACTTAAAAGTCTAAAGGCTTTATTATAACAGTTAGATCTAACTATATTAAATTAAGCTGTATTTAGGTTTATTATTAGCAGATTATATAAAGTATAATACTAAGCAGTTATTAAAGTATTATATCTCTTAATAGTAGATTTAATATATATTAAGCTTAATTAATATAAAGAAGTTTTATTAATAGCTAGTAGGCTAAATCTATAGAAATATAAATAAATATAAACTATATACTATTATTTATAAAGTACTTACTTATATTTTTATTAAAGACTAAAATATTAATTTTTTAGTTTTAAATTAATACTATAAAGTTTTAATTCTATTTTAATTAATTAAATTAAATAGATTAAAAAGGGTTTATTTAATTTACTTATAATTAATAGGGTTTATAAGGAAAATTATAAAGTATATATAATATAACTATAAGGGTTATAATATAATCTCTTCTTTTCTTTAGGTTTTATTCTTAAGACTATACTTACTTATATTTTTATTAATCTTATATTTATATATATTAACTTAAACTTATTTTTATTTATATATATTCTATTAATTATTATATTAAGTTAAGTTTTTAAAAAGAAATATATAAAAACTTTTAAATTTAATACTTTTATATAATATATTTATAATTTTAATAATTATATTATATTATATTTTTAATATTTCTATTATAATCTTTTTTATAAGGCTAAAAATAAAAAATTAAACTGCTATAGGAATTATATAGATATTAAGGTAATTTATAATAGCTTTAATATTATAACTTTTTATAGGTTAATATTTTTATATTTTCTATTTAACTGCTAATTTTCCTTATAGTTTTAAAGAATATAAAAAAGTATAAAAAGTTAAAAGAAAATAAGTAAAAAGCTAAAGAGGCTCTTAAAGAAACTATAGCTTATTTAGTTTATATTTATAAGATAAAATATTACCTTAAAGAATAAAGTAATAAATTATTTTTTTATAAGATACAGTCTTTAAAGAAATAAGGTAGTTTCTTTATTAATTAAATAGAGTTATTTATAGTATTTAAGGTTTAATTTTATAGTATTATAAATATAATTAATTAAAATTCTATTTTTATAAATATTCCTTTTTTTAATTCTTTTATTATTATTAATAAAAATTCTTTAGAAGTTATTAGGCATTAATAAGGTATTTTAGTAGTTTTTAAGTATTTTTATTTTTTAGGTAGTTTTTCTATTTTATTAAGTATTCCCTTTAATTATTATTTTTATATATATTTTAAATAGCTTTTATTTTATAGATTTTTAGTTTTATAATTTCTTATAGCTTATTGCCAGTTTTAATTTATATTATATTAGTGTTGCGGCCTTCCTTATCGGGTTTAGCGCCGCCCCCTTCCGCATGAAATGCTCCTCCCCGCCCTTCCTCGCCTCTAGCCTCATTGTGATATAATCCCGACCATCTATTCCTGTACTTTCCCTCTCTTCCTTCCTCTTTTTCCATCTCAACCATCTCAACCACCTTCCCCCCTCTCACCTCCCGCTCTCCCTCTCTCTTCTGGGCCTCCCCTTTCACCTCCCTCTTTGTGCCCGTGCGCCCGCGTCGCGTGTATGCAGCGGGCATGCCGACTCGAGCGTGCCACCTCCGCTCGCATCCTCGTTGTCCTTGTCCCTATCCCTCCCACGCCGTTTTGGCCCCTTGTGTTCTTGGTGGAACAAGGAGAAAAGTCTTTCTTCGCACCGCTGATGCTCGTGCAGGCCGGTTGCGCCCTTTGCCGAGCCCACTGTCATATTGCGTGATCCCTTCGCTGGATGGATGCCAATAAAGTGGCCCGTCTTGGCTGCCTAGTCGTTGATTGTGGTGAGGCGGTGATGGACAATTCTTCGGTCTAAGCGTTGCTTTTTTCAATCGTGGTGCTCGTCATTCGAGCGCCGTGAGCGAGGCCCTGCTGCCAATGACACGTCAGCCTCATCCGTACCGGATATGTGCGAAAGAGGAAATCGCCGACCATATAGGTATCAACTTTACCGCCCCTTACCACACTATCACAAGCGTGGGTAACGCCAGCTTATCCAGTCTCGTCGCAAGGAGCCTACATACGCGAAACAGTAAAGGGGGCGGTGAGGCGCAAGGAATCGGACCGGCTGTCAGGAGGGCTCTACTATACCATCATCAGTTGAATGCCTCGACAGCCCTCTTCACCCATAAAGCGTATATGGACTGTAAGGGTCGTCATAGCCCTGGTATGGAGATCCATAATCCGGACTTGAGGGTAGAGTTCAGAGGATATCCTACCCCGGAGGGACGAAGCTTCTGGCAGGTGATTTGGGAAGTGTAGACGTTCGTGGCACTCTTTCATGCGAAAGTGCCACCAAAGCCTTACACCGACAAGGACTGCATAAATCGCTCAGGCAGGGATCAAAAGCCTTAACGCAGGATATTCTCAAACAACCTGGTTAACGACGCGATCCCGTACTGGGCATGCCTGGATGTGTGACGCGTTAAATGCTGGTCTGGGGGCTGACGAACAGCCTGCAGCGGACGCGGCATTGTGCCTGACTTTGAAGATTGCGCTCACATGTCATGGGGCGGTTGTTCAGCAGGAGTATTTAAGGTCGACACGCCCCGTCTTGACAGCCGTTCCGATTCCTAGCTAGCGCCCACACAATTCATTCCCCTCGATTTTTGTCTGTGTTTTTGAATAAGGAGTTAATACATCTCTCACTTTTCGCATCATGCTCGCCACTTCAAGACAGGAGAAGCATGCCAATATCAATCTTGATCGTGCTATCTTCTTCTCACCCAACACCCTCAAACATTCCCAATCCACCACTCTAAGACACTTACCCTTCTCACAACTCCCTCCATCATCCCCAGTTCCCGCTTCACAATCCCCACGACCTGCACAATATCTGTCACGCTCTGCCAGGCCACTTCTTCCCCCCAAACCCCCTACGCTGCCACCAAAGCCGAATCGCACCTCCTATCCTCAGTCTCTTGCAAACACTGCTCATCTCCCGCCTATTCCTCTCCCTCAGAGTCTGAAAGCTGCATCACCAACACCACCTTTTCGGCAGGGTGAATTTGAGAGAATAACGCATGGGTCGCTGCCAACACCAGACTTCAGTTCGCTTACCCATGCTACCAAAGCGGAAACTTTAGCAGACCGAGTGCCTACGCTACTACCCACAGCCGAGTCGCCAATCAACCACCATGGTGCAGGGGATCTAAATGTTGGGTTCTCCCCTCAACACGTACGTCTTCGTACCGGTGATTCACCCGATTCTACACGGCATGGCTCGGACGCGAGGCAAAGACAGACTAGTGAGTTTAGTAGAGTTTGGCTTCTCAGTTCGAGGAAGGAGTAGGGTTAACGGAACAAGCAGTCGGCCAACCCCCATGTATCACTGGGAATGATCAGAGCAACCTGAATAAGGACACCGGCGTTGCCAATGTCTCCAAATCACCAACTCTCTCATCCCCATATCACGCAGCATGGAACCAAGCATCAACTAGTTTTGGCGACACCTTATCGCCTGGGGATCCATTGTTATCCTGCTCATCTACACAAGCTAAAATCCCGGAGACCAAAAGGCCAAATACGTCGATCTTGGAAAACCTTGACATAAACCCAGGCCAACCATCAGAAGACTATGGCCAATCTATGCAGCATTTTTCAACTACACAAAGTCAGCTCAGTACTTTGCCCAGTACTTTGCTTTCGAGGATAGACACGACGGTTAGCATCAGGCATCCTCGTGTCAAAGTCGCAGCGAGCCAAGATAAACAATCCACTGTGTCGTACTATAGCCGCAAGATTAATGACGCCCCTTCCGAAGCTCGCAAGAATATTTCCAAACGGACATTGTCGTCGCTTGAGGGGAGTACCAATACGGCGGTAAACAAAAGTCCTACTCCTCATTGTCTCCTTGCATGTCCAGACAGCGATTATGATGAGCGTATCCAATTTCGAAAGCGTTGCCAGTCCGTTGCTGCTATTGACGCATATGACAGCGACAGGGAAGCCGTACGAGGGGAGCTGAAGCATGCAATGCGGTCGAGTTGCCCGCCGCGATGTCCCGAAGAGGGTGACGGCAACATCTTTGGCGATCTACGTCAGTCCAATGAGACCCAGCAACCGTGCGCTTACTTCGAGGAATTCCCTATACATCAAGCCATGCTCAAATGCGTTCGAATTGGAGACGAAACCACGTTTTGTGTGACTGGATTCTGTGAAGAGATTTCACATCCTTGCCTTGCCCCAGATGCGACCGACTCCGTACGAATCGAGCTGAGTTCAGCTACCTTTGAGATGAGATCTAGAGGCGCTAGTAAGCGACAGAAATTGTCTCCGCGCAAACAGCAACCAAGCAGCCTATCTACAAATAGGTCAAGAAAAAGCTGGACTTCAGCCGAAGATAGGACGATAATGATCTTAAAGCAAGCCGGTAAGGGATGGCCCGAGATTGCCGCAGCCCTACCGGAACGTACCGAAGCAGCTGTCCGGGCTCGGTACTTTGGCAAATTGGCGAAAGTCACTGGACCAACTATCGAAGATCAAGACGAATTTGAGGTCGAAGCGTTGCTAGCTCGGCGGAAAGGATCAAGGACTGAATACCTCGTTCAATGGAAAGGCTATCCTGATGAAGAGAATTCCTGGGTAGCACAAGACGACATTAGTACCGAGCTGGTGATTGAGTATGAAAGGAATCACGCAATACATGGCGGCCTTTTCAGTGGGATCAGTCTGTTAAAGCAAGATCGCCGTGGCGGCGACGATAACAAGTACCTCGTGCAGTTCCGGGGAAGGCCGAGCGAAGAAAACATGTGGGTTTGTAATTCCGAGGTAAGTGGCAAGTTGATCGATGAATTCAACAAATTACATAGGGAAGGCTGAGAAGGGATGAGGGTCATCTCTAAGTGACCTTTTTCGCCCACTCAATGACTGTATTTCTTTATATTATTGTTCCATACCACTTCTTCACAGCGGCGAGAACTCTTGGTTTACATTTCAGATATTAGCTCAATTCATGATCAAAATCACCCGTGAATACCTCTATCGAGCAGGTCTCCCAAATATGTTGAGAAAAAAGAAGAAACCATTACCATGCAGCCAAGGTGCTTTCCACTTCATTAGCAAGAGCTAGCTATTTTCTTCTGGGAGGCAACATTAGAGATAGAGTATTTGCATTGCTCAAAGTGAGGTTTTCAGTTTAGTATCTGACAAGGCCATTCGCAGAGACTAGAACTCTAGATACCCTCCTCGAAGGGATAACAATTTCCATTCCCTCCATCATAGGTCCAACCCAACAGCGAAGAGTCCTTAAAAGCTTATCAATATTTCCGTATACGGTGGTGACTCCAACAACGACGGTCATTAACGGGGGCTATCTTATACTTGGTGCTTTTGCCTACACAACTACATCATCGATCCAACTGCAGGGCTGGCAGATTAATAAGAGGTCTTTCCCGGGCAGTCAGTAAGCAACGCCATATCAGCGGTTTTGACATATCTAAAACTAACTGGAGGGTCTGACCTAAGCCCGATGGACGAGCTCGACGACGTTCTCATCGACATTTGCTTTCCGTTCCTCCCTCTTCTTTTTCAGCAGTTAATTGACTTCGGCTATGTAACTGGTCGAGGGTAGGCAATTTAATGAACCTACCGATAATCGAACATCCAAATGTGCAATAGGAAGTTCAGCAGCTATTGTTAATGGTAGGGCGCTTACCTGTACCATACCATATAGAACTGTACCAGCGGGGAAGTTGTATTGACCGTTTCAATTACCGCGTCAGCCGTCGGCAGAAAGTATTTAAATGCCAGAAAAGCTTACGGTACTGTATGTACCATTATGCAGTATTAATTCATAGCTAGGCAAATTATTCACGTACCCTTTGCTGACATCTTATCAGTAAGAACCTATTTAGTGCTTACATACAGGACAGTACATTAAATGCTTACTGTAGGCAGCGCACTACAGGGCTGACAAGCACAGTCGTTATCGATTCCATCTTAGGATTAGCCTACGCTGAAAGCATGCTTACCCTAAAGCCGAACACGACATTCAGACAACTCTGACGTGCTGAAATATCGGTTGTGAGATGCTGAATAGGCCCGCTCGAAATTAGAGGCCGCTTTTCCTAATTAAACAAATGCAAGGTAAGCTTTTGCGTACAAACCGAACCGTAGCCCATGGGAATTTATCCAGAATATTTCTTAGATTTCTGGCTCGGAATCACTTCAAAGAAAAGCCAAATTAGAGCGCGTGACCGACCTCTTCGCGGCGTCATTATGGATAAGCATTTGACAACGAAGATCAATATTTCCCTTTGGTTGACTTCTATTGTGAATGTAGAAGGATGATGACATCAGTACACTTGGATCCATAATCAGCCGCTGTTGAGATTATGGCATACGTTTGGACATATTTTTGGCATCTTTAGTCAATATACAGTGTAAAAGTCACAGTGGCCACGGCTGTGACCCGTGCGCGAAAGCTTACCTTACATTTATCTTGATTAGGCAAAGCGGCCTCTAATTTCGGCCGAGACTGTTTTCTATTGCACACATGGATCAGTGGATGGATATGACTACCGAGAAGATGAGGGTGTTCTCCATTAGGACTATACTATGCAATAGCACAGAGTATTTGACATGGCCATACTTATTGGCTATGTGGCTATTAAGTCTGCCATCTATTGCTTTAGGATGACTAAACCGTACTTCCCGTCGTCTATTACTGTACATATCGACATAGCGATATGTATATTAAGAGATACGCTTATTCTTAATACCCTGCATACAGTAGATCACAAGACGAAATATGCCGACTTTCTTGCTTATGTAAGCGGCCATTTTGGATGACTGTAAGCAAGGAGGCAGGAGAAGCAACTACAGTAACGCGGAAGCACTATACTTAGATGATCCGTGCTTAGAAACATTTTGTAAAAAGCCTGGGCGGCTTTCATGAAGACTCTGAGAACGGATCAATTATGGCTAGTGTGGCTGGGTTAAGTGCATCTAGGCCAAGCCATTGTCGCTTACTATCATCCAAAATGGCCACTTATGTTCACAAGAAAGTCTACATATTTCAATTCATACAGTAAATACTCTACTGTACGGTATGCATGCATCCAGAATAAGTGTATCTCTTGTTCCAACATAGTCTATCGCTATGCTACTATGCAGTACTCTACGGTATCATTATACAGTATCCAGAACGTTAATTCATAACTGGGCAAATTAGTCACGTACTGTACCCTTTTCTGAACTCATCAGTAAGAAACTATAAATATAGTGCTTATGTACCTACTGGAAGTACAACGAAAACTTACTGTAGGCAGTGCACTGTTTACTGTTTCATTACATTGTAATCGATATTAGTGAGCAATTGTTAAAACTGAACTTGTAGAGTATGAGTAGAGCGTTTCTCCAGTGATATCATTATTAGAAGTATAGCCTTTTGTCAAGTTTTCTTTGAAACATGGGTTTCAGGTCATTTCTCTGCCGGGCAGAACCATCTAATATGACGTGTAAAAGGATAGTCTTCAAGAACGACTCATGGCTCATACGGATGGATCAACTCGGCTTGCTAACGAGCTTTGTTGGGTTAGACGTTGAACGGCCAAAAGCCATGAAACAAAAAGTCATCTCGCTTGCTATTGCCGCAGAAAATGCGCTTCGAGAAAACCGAGATTTGTTTTTCAAATCTTTGAACAAAAGTCATCGTGATGAGTTCACAAAGGAGATCAAAGTTGAGAAACACAACCTTGTTTTGAATTATTCAGCGTTCTATCAAGAAGAAGTGATTATACTCAAGGACCCTAGACTGTTGATCAATAACGATGGAGATCCTTATACGGCAATCCAATATCTTGGAAGTCACAAGATTTGGCGGCTTAGCCTACAGGGGTTCCTGGGAAGTTATGAAGACCGTTCTCAATTGCTGGAAAGTATCGAGCAGGGATTTTCAATAGAGGTTTATCTAAAGACGGGGGAGTCTGTCCGCCAGGATTTCCGAACACCGGGGCCTCTGATGACATGGACGGCTATTTTTGGCTCTTCACCGTTAACAAACCTATAACTTTACCTAGTGACATATCTACTATATAGAAATAGTCTATATAAGTTGTTAGTTAGTGCGTGTTTTATCCCATAATTCCAGTACCTGGCAAGTTCGTGATGAAGTATGGATGGATGGACGGACTGAAAGGGATTACCAGTATCCTGATTCCTGAATGCAGCGGCAGCAATTCCACGGCATGTCGAGAATTAGCACCGCTGACAGCTTTGCCTGCCTACAAATTGAACCAAAGTACGTTGGCTTCATGGGGGCTCACTACGTGTTACTGTATGTCCCTTTATCGAAGAGGGAGATCTAGGTAGTCCTTTTTAGGAAGCTCTAGACTTTTCCATTTGATTTGGCTATCATTGAAGAAAGCAGTTTATATACACAGCAATTTTCATCACTGCCATCTTCCCTAAAAATGACGCTCATAATCGCTAATGTTTCGACCCGCGCTACCATATATACTGGATGTGACAATGAGAGCTCTCTTTGTCCTGGAGGAATGTACTTACGTCTGAAATTTCGGTGACCATCGGGCCAGCCGAATTGGTCCTTTTGGTAGGGCAATTCCATATTGAATCGGTATAGTATGTAACAAGCACTTCTTTGGAAGAAAATCTAAAACCAGCAGCATTGCTAATTCGCTTGAGTCATGTGTACTAACTAGCTAGTGTGACATCAGCGTTTTCTCTTTGTATGGCGCCTTGACTGCAGTTCATCAGTATCGAGGGCAACCTTCTTCAAAGCATTGAACCGAACCCCCAACTCATTTTATGTGGCCTCGAGCCTCTGAATCTGTGTGTCAAAATCACAATAGCCTCATTTCTCAAGCTTCGCGATGGGAGTGTTCTGCGTTGCCATTTCTCCATTACAACGTTGGAGTTCGCAAGACAGATCGTAGGTCCTGCCTTCACCGAGGGGCTCCCGACATAATTTGTCTAAATCTTGTCGGCATGTAGATACCAATAAGCCGGCGGTAGTACGGTAGGTCGAACGCGCCTTAATGGAAAGATCATGCCAAGTCCTGTTCACTAGGTAGCTTCGCGCTAGGATTCTTTGTTTATTTGATAGACCTATGGTTTCAGCATACAGAACAAGCTGAGACGAAAGATACTTGCATAGTTTTGGACCTGTTTTTAGTGTTTTCGAAGTTGATGCGATCGTGTTCTTGCCAGCATCAATGATTTCGTTAGGCGTCAGGGTGGTTGCAATTGCAAACACGGTGTGTGGCCAAAACAAGGGAAGAATCCAACTTTGTAAATGCATTTTATCCTCAGTGTTTTGCCGAGCTTCCTACTTGCTCCTAGTGTAGATTTGATTTCTATAGTCCAAAACTGGCTCACGTGTATCAAGCCTTAACAGTCTATCCTGCCGGGGCCGGGGATCTGGTTTCGACTTTGTTGCTATGCTCGACTTTTTTGTTTGCTATCTCTATAGAATGATCGACGTATTTATCAAAGATACATTCTCATTTAGTAAAAGCTCTAAGGAAAATGAGCTGGCTAATAGGAGGGCAGTACCGAGTCTTCATTGATCTTTCCTTTAGGGCCGTTAGCATTCATCCCTGGCTCTTTCCATTGTATCCTGGGAGATAGCACATAACAAGATAATGAGGACTCGGTCATCGGCATCTCAAGGGTTGTACATGTATATTGTAAATTAACAATATTCTTGCCCTAGCATATTATCTTAGTCACATTCATCTTAATTGATATCATTAATTTATCTGGCAGTCTGATGTTTATTATGTAAGACTGGATGAATTAAGAAATAAATAGAGAATATAATTCCATCTTATATCCTCCGAGATTCTGAACGTAATTCAAGCTCTGATACCCACTCCGCGATCTCCTTGATGGCGGCCTGAGGACTGTCCCGATATTTTGCCTTGAGTAAGTACTGCTGAATTTCGGCCGGGGAAATATGAAACTCTGGGAAATTGCCTGCAAACTCTACTGCCATCGAATCTAGATCTCCAAGGCCAGTTAGTCCATAGTGGGTTTTGAACAGCTGTTGTGCCTGAGATCTGGAGGCGTTCGTCAAATGCACTTCGTAATCAACACGGCCAGGTCGGATAATCGCTCCATCAAGCAAATCCCTACGATTGGTTGATATGATTAATATATGACCCTCTGGGGCAGCGAACCCGTCCGTGGCGTTAAGATATCCACTCAGCGTAATCCCATGCTCGGAACCCGTTGGGTTCCGGACTAGGCCTGCAGAATCAATGTCCTCGATCAGCAAAATCCCTCGCTGGGGCATATTTGTAGTCAAGGAAACAAGAGATTCGTCAGTCAATGCCTTATCACACAGCCTAAGGCAGAAAATTGGAAGCTCAAACACGCTTGCTATAACGTGAACAAGACTCGTCTTTCCCGTTCCTTGAGGCCCGTGAAATAGATATCCTCGTCTGTAGGGGATTCCTTTCGTGTGGTAGTGCTCCATGGCGTCGGCTCGGAGGTACTCGTTGATATCATCAAGTGTGTTGCTTAGTATTTTAGAATCTATCGCGAGCGTTTCTGCCGGTCGAGATGCGCGAAGGGCAAGTCTAGTCCACTCTGGCGATGGGGACTGATACCTAGGGTGCCACACACTGGTCTTATCCCTCTCATGTTTGAAAACTATATCCATTGAAGTTTGGAGAACCTTCCTGATGGGTTCTTATTCAGTATTAGTGTTGTAATTCCTTTGTGGTAGGCGCTAGGTTACCTGCTGAGTTCCCAAAACAAGACAAGGTGTACTCTATACGATTGCTTTGTGCAGCATTATAATATTCGGTAACCCTACGCCCTTGAATTCGGAATATTTTACCGTCTTTCCAGAACCACGATGACGATAGAGGGTAGAATACTATTTTCTATGCTTGTAAGCAAGAAGTCCGTTTGTATGCCATCGAAGGTGCCACTCACTCTCATTGACGACCACGTGAAAGCGATGTATTTGCCAGATTTTGAATTTCCAGTTTGAAGCTCATTACGCGATATTCTATTGAGCATCGCAATAGTCTCCCTGCTCCAGGATGCATTTTCAGTTGATAGGTACTCAGCAGCACGCACAAGATCGCCAGGAGAAATCTCAACGGCGATCATCAGGTAGCCGCACATAAAGCACACTGCCTTATAGGCGATCCAAGGAGCGAGGAGTAAAGTAACTGTGACAACGGGACTGAAACCAAGCGACGTGAAATAACCGGGAAATTGGCGAAGGGCTGGGACAAAGACGCCGAGGCCAATAGAGTTGAGTAAAAGACTCAATACCTCCCCTTCCTCTGTCATCGATACCATCGTAGAGAGTGTTTTAAGTAAGTGATGAGAAACTTGGTTGATAATGTTTTTTCAACTGTGGAAGAAAAGACATAGTTTATCGGTTAAAGTTGAAGACGTTCTCTCGCCCCCTCTTTCACTTTTCCAATTAAAACAACCATTCCTTCTGTTCATTCGATCAGGTGGGCTACAACCTCCACAATCTTGGTCATTAGGCCGAAATTTGTAATCTCTTAATGAGGTATGATCATTGAACGCCTAATCACTGGCATGATGCCTATTGGGAGCATCATCAGAAACACACACTGATTAGCCCGTGAAGAAATGATATACGTCCGCGATCCATTTTGTAATCTGATCAGGCTGAATGAATAGCCAGAAGGTAAGTTTTAGTGAGCACAAGAAATCTGGCTTCTATTGGAACGGGCGGTTCAGCGGGTGAAGGAATGTAGAAGAAAAAGAATAAGCGTAGGGCTGGTGTTTAACGGGTTTAAGTAAGAGCAGAAAAGCTTGTTACATTAAGGAATAGAACTTCTGGTAGCCAGATTTTCATTTCATTATTACCAGCAGCGATTAAGGCCATATAATACCATCGAGGACTATATGCCCGCGGGTTGAGATAGTCAGACCCCGGATCTGATTCCCAATCTTATATAAGCGCAATGTACTCAAAAACGATGATGTATCTCCCGTCCATCCTGATGTTTCACTAATATTTGCTTCCAAGTCTATCGTAGTTGTCGATTCAAGCGGCTTCATAGTGGTGGGAAACCTTTGGAACACGCAGAAAAGTTGCTGACCGAAGGCTTGAAACTCCGCCACTTCTCCTAACGCCATTGGCGGAACCTTCCAGGTTTCCCCACAGGCCCTATATATGTTCGTGGCGAGGCTCTTCCATGTTTTCGGTAGGCTTATTATTGTTTTGGCGTTAGAAAAGCTCTGCGCCATCTTATTGAATGCTTCATGCATTGAGAAGAGCTTCGCAACAAGTCGATAATACTGACGCTCATTTCCCTCAAGCTCCACAGACGAAATAAAGGCGATGAGCCCAAAGACGAGAATTGCCAGCTCGAGGTCGCGCACGTATGCATCTAGCTTCAGGCACGCAACGTACTGAGTTTGTTCAAAGCTGTCGTCTAGCTCTTCTCTTCTGCTTGCTCATCAGATTTCTGATTCAGAGTTTAGGAGGGGGAGCTTACCTCGCCGCGTCTCGTTTCGCTTTGAGTTCCTGTATCTTCTTTGCCAGAGGAATAAAAATAAAGTAGGATGTGGATCCCATGAAAAAGAGAACAGCTATCACAATGAAAAATGCAAGCCACCAAGGCAGCAGGATGTTCAAAGCTTCACCGATTGCCACTGCTGTAGGCAATGCCTTTAACACAATCCCCTTCAAAACGGTATCTACAGAGAGTGACTTTGCGGCAGCTTGCGATGTTAACGCCTTTCCCTGGATTAAACAAAAATATGCCACATTTTCCAGTGCTGGCTGTAGATGACGCCAACATCCGGCCTGTAGATGGTCGCAAATGAACGGGAGAAAGAATCTCCAGACGGAAAATAACTTATCGAAGTGATTGCCAAAAATAGAATCAAGAGATTTGAAAATCACATGATCAAACAAAGGGAGTATTCCTAGCATGATACAAGCCAAAAGCTTAACAAAGAAAGGTAAGGAATAACGGAAATGATCCGTGCCGCGAACAGGACCAGCCAAAAGAGATGTTTCTTCATTCATGATATTCGATGATATGTGGTGAAAGGATGCCATGGAAAGCATGGCGGCGATCCTCTCTATTTATCTACATATTATACAAGCTGGTACGCGGAGCATGCCCTACTATCCAACATTTTTGGATAATTGAGGAGACCATGACATCCCTGCAGTTTACCGATTCATATCCAATCGTAGGTTGACCTCCCTAATCTGGTGCGCCACCGTGACGTCTTCCGTTTATGCCTCAATCACCTTCAGAGTCAACTTTTGGGCCAATACCAGCCGGCCCAATGAATCTTTTCCTGTGTGGAATTGACACATACGATCTGCCGTGTCGAGTTTGAGGTTCTATCATGAGTCTAAACCTATTTTGCGATTTACTGGAAGCGTGAGGAATTCCTTCCTAGTACAATGACAACGACATAGAGGGTATATACGCTCAGCGTACGTAGATTCTTAGAGTGTCTCGAATGTGCTCCCTCCATATGACCTTTTTCGATCGGGAATATTCCTTGCTCTTTACTAGCTCTACTTCCAAACCTTCGTAGAACTAACATCGAGTTATACATTAGGTGGACTTGTTCAACATTCTGAAGTAGACGCCTTCAAGTTTCAGCAGTTCATCATGAGTACCCTCTTCGGCAACTTCGCCATAACCTTCTTCTGAAAGTCTGAAAACGACAATATGATCGGCGTTCTTTATTGTAGAGAGACGGTGCCTAAATGAAGAGTCAGTATTTCTCCTTCGTCGTGGAACAGAGGATGACTTGCGTGTTGATGACAACCGTTTTGGACTTGTCGAGCTCTTTGACAGCCTCCTTGATGATCCCTTCCAACTCGACGTCTTGAGAGCTTGTAGGCTCATCCAATAAAATTAGATCGCCCTGGTGTGCGAACACACGCGAAAGTGCTAGTCGTTGCTTCTGTCCTCCGGACAGTGGACTATGAAAAGTTTAAAAGGTTAGTACAGTTGGTTCTTGGTGTGTTCAAAAGATGGAAGTAGTCTGACTTACTATCCTCCCTGGCCTAACATGGTGCTGTATTGTTGTGGTAGTTTCATGATGTCCTCATGAATTCCTGCTTTCTTACAAGCCTCTTGGGCTTCTTCTTCAGAGATTCCCTGACAGTTGAGCCGGATGTTACCGTAGACGCTCTTCTCAAATATGTGGGGACTCTGCTCCAGGACAGCAGTGTGCTCTAAAAGTCTACAGTTTATCTCAAGTATAAGTGGTAGGCTTCGCGTAGCTAAGAGGGACTCAACTCACTTTTCCATTTCCACGTCTTTGAGGTCTTGGCCATTTCGCTCAATATTTCCACTCACAGGGTCATATTGCCGTAATAGTAGGTTAAAAATAGTTGTTTTCCCGGCACCAGACCGGCCGACAAGCGCTGTGGTCTTCCCTGGCTGGAATGTTAGATTCAGGTCCCTCAGCACATACCTATCTGGTATATAGCTAAAGGAAACATTTCTAAATCTTATACCAGCCCCAGTCAGTCCGCTTGTCCCGTCTTGAAGTTTGGGTACGATCTCAAGCATGCGGCGAAGTCGGTCTGCTGCCACGAACTTATCGAATACATTCTGGAAGCCATTGGAAAAGAACTGGATCGGATTCTCCAAGTGCTTCGAATATAAGTGGAATAAAATAGCTCGCGGTAATGCTTCCTCCAAGCTGCTGCTGCTGATAAGGAGGAAAATCATGTTACCGCTTCCGGTAATAGTACTCAGTAGACCTAGACCCATGTTCCAGTACGCGGCATAACTATAGCTGCTAAACAGTGACGTGCTCTCGGCATGCGTGGCTTCTGTGTACGTCTCGACTTCATGGCCAATTTGTCCGTGAGAGTAAATGCTGTGCCAGAATTGCAAAGCAGTCTGTCCTATTTGTCTTGCTTTTATGATGCAGGCGGCATGCAGGTCGAATATGGGCACTGCGCCCCGCTTCCCACGAAGGGTAACGATGACTCCGATGGCTATTGAGAAGGTTTGCAGGAGCCATATTTGGGGGCCAAGCTTCCACCATATAATGGCGCTGGCCATGGCCAGTTCCAAGATCTGCGCGGGCGATTCATAGAACACGAAATCAAAACATTCGCAAACACTGGTGCCCATCGTGGCTGCGGTGTTCATGATGATAGGATTGTTGGCAGAATGGAAGGCTGCCTCTTGTCGCATTAATCCTTTGAAGGCCTTAACCTTCACATCCGCGTTTCGCTCAAGTTCAAAACGTTTCCAGAAGAGCATTCGCAGACAACGAAGGCCATTCCATCCGCCAAACCAAGATAACAGTTCATAGGACACCCATATTAGAATAGCCTTATAGACATGGAGCTGCTCTAGCAGAGTGCTGAAAAAGTAGGCGAAGAGGAGGGGTGCGGTAAGATTGCATACCACCTCACAAAGCCTCAGTGGAATAGCTGACAAGGCGCAGAACTTTTTCCACCTCCATGGCATATCCCTCGGCCAAACCCAGCTGCTGAAAACCCAGAACTTTTTCATCCACGGCCAATACCCTCCGGCCTCATCGATGGCGTCTTCGATGCTTTGGTTCACTATAGCCAGTTCCGGCTCTTGCTGTTCCAGGTCTCTGTTCTGGTCGACATCGTCGGTACCCGCGCTATTACCGATATCGAAATAACGGCCACGATCAGGATACATATATACCGGGAAGAGCAAGATAACGTGGGAAAGTCGTAAACATATTGTCGATAGCTTAAACGCGAAAGTCTGAGAGTGATGGGCTTGTGAAAGGTCTATGACACCAAGTACGTCAAAGAGGGCCATGAATACCCAGGACAGTAGATAGGTCCTTTGCCCCAGTCTTAGAGTCTTCCTCTCTCTATCTGTAACAGGCCAAACATGACTCGTCTCTGCCGCTAGTGAGAGTGTATATGTGACATTCGCGAAGAGCCTCAGGGCTGGAGGCATTCCGCCAGCATAGAAGAATTCAACGACCAAGTTGAGAATGCTGATAATAAGATTGACAAATAAGAGATAGGCGATTGTTTTCAAATTTCGCCAGCATCTTTCAGCTGGCTCAAATTGGGACGCCAGGACACACAGCCCTAGCGCTGCGGCAAAAACGGCCTGGAATATTGAAGTAACGAGTTGGATGTCCGGCATGGTTTCTGAACAAAGAGGGATCTTCAAGAATGGTGTCTGCGTATGTGAATAAAGTGGCAATAAATGTAGACAGTTGGAATACACAGTGAGAAAGGGGGGGGCGCCTGGTATTTTATACTTACGGCTAGAAAGGTCTGGGCATGGTAGCTCGGATGAAGCTGCAACTGCCCCTAGCAGAGTTAAAACAAGTTTCGGCTCCCCCAGCAGAGCTTATCTTGGTGTACCGTATCTTTATTAACCATGTACATGATAGGAGCGAGAGCATCACTACCTTTACGCCAGGCTCATATACCACCGAAGTAAATAACATTAGATTGTATTTTTGCTTTCATTTACAGAACACTGCTAAGACATTGATTTTCAGACAAGAAACGCTTCTGCAAAATGAGATGTTATTCATCAATCCGACGCCTTAGTAAGTTGCAGCTCATCAAACCCCAGCAGTAATATGAGACGCTTTCTTTCCAAACTCTGAACAGTCCCTAAATGTTCTTCAACCTTCTGAAGAAATTCCTTGTAGCTTTGTGCACATTGTAAAAGCTTTGGGCAAACTTCTTGTTGAGCTTCATGAGAGAGGGTATGGTAAATAGAAACCGCTTTATAATAGACATATGCGTAATAATGCACATATTCTAAGTAAGCAGTAGGGTAAATTACTTCCTTGGGCGCCGGATGCGTAGGTTTCAAGGCTTCGAATGAACGAAGCATTGCGAGCAGGGGCCCAGATGCGGCAGGTGGATCAGGCAGATTGGATATTTGAACTTTGAGATCGATCCATGACCATTTCTTAAGAAGGATTTCCACAGCTTGTCTGCCATATTTCTCTTGGACTATCCCCAGATTCAAGTGAACCAAAGGTAATAAATTGGGTCTTCTGCCCGTGAAAATTGGGAATTGGAAGCTGTAAGCCGTTAGCTAATGCATTACTTTCATGTCTTAGCCATGATTCTTCGTACTTAGAGAAGTCCCAGCTCGTCAGAATTAAATCGCAGAATTCGTCAGCTGGAAGCCTGTCTTGAAGTCCATCCAAGCCACCAAGCGCACTGCAATGTTAGCTAAATCTTGATTCAAAGAATATTACTTACCAAAGGGTGCCATTGAATATATTTGTTGCCTCCGTAAAGCAATCTGAGGCTATCGTGGTGCTGCCATTATACTCGTAGCAAAGTGCGGCAAGCAATAACGCACGAACGACAGGAAGAGTCGGTGTGCTTAGTTCGATTTTTATCCGAGTATTTGTCATCCAGCAATCCAATTGCTCGATATGGTTCCCGGCGTGACTTTGAGAGCTTAGCTCTTTCAAAGATTTATCCAAAGAGATCATAACACTAAGTGCTATAACGAATGGGAGCTGCTGTAGCCGTGCGTCATCGATCTTGTGGGTATAGAGATTAAGCAAATTATCCAGGTCTGGTATGGGGAAAATGTGGCAAAGATTCTGTTTGTAATTCTTAATTGAAGACTCTATAAATTCCAATCGAATTGATGCGTTTTCCATTTTTGTGTACTGTATGTAATTACGAATGTCCAGCAGGATAGCCAGTAAGCTGCTTTTAAATGCTTAGGTTGAGGCTCTGGGACCCAATAAAGATATAAAAAATTTGGCTCATAAGCGAGGAGCCAACATGAACCCAAAGAAAGAACCCTCGAATATTGTGGCTTGCTGTGCCGCTTTGCAGGCGCGTAAGACTGTCACTACTTCAATAGCGGTCAACAGCTAAACAAGGGCCAGAAGGCGGTGTCATGGTTGAATCGCTACCTACAGACAACTGACAGCTTCGTTTGGCAGAGAAAAGGGGCAACAAGACGATTGCGGGGAACCGAAGTGACAGGGTTCGACCAAGCCAGTAGTCAATCGTTTTGGTCTGTGTATTTTGAATTCGAAGCTTGTTAATCAAATAACGATAAGTGCTGGAGCGGGGATTGTTTCAATCTTTCCATGAACCGGGTTCAATGGCGGCATCAAGTCGGTACTACCTGAGGTGGGTTCCCCTGTAACACCAGTGCAGACAAGGAGGCAATTCACAGGAAATGAAAATCACTGATCGGCAATGTCGGCAATTTGATCATTACACCGCTTTGTTGATTCATGTAACGACCAGACAATGTTGTGTGATTGTGATTAACCGTGCAGTGCTCATTGCTGACTCTATAATACTATGAAACCCAAGAAGAAGTTCAAAAAAACAGGAAAAGATAAGAAAGAAAGGAGGAAAGAAAGCAGAAGTGGCATCATCCTGATCGCTGCATTGGTACAGATCTCGGCCTGTCAGACGCCATCATAATGCTTGATTTTAACACATTGTCCCAATACATCTCAAGAGCTGTGTTAGCCTGTTGCATTTCAGGAATCACTCTTTTCAAACATCCAAGGATATCCATATTGCACCTCAATTCATCCCCAGATCTTTGGGGAAGGCAAGCCTTCACAAGGGAAGATCCTGTTTCTCTCCATAAGGTTGGTTGGGGCCTCGACATCTTGACAGTGATGTGTTCAGTCCGACATAATTTGGACATGCTTGGTGGCAGGCTTGTGACCCAAGATTGGAGCTCGTGTTCTGTATCTCCCGTCAGGAGTTCTTCGAACAAGCACAAAGCTGTCAATGATATCACAAGTTCTTCTGGGTTTGGTTGCTTGTTTAAAATGTGAACCACTTTGGAAAAAATCTTCTGGCCTTCTGATGAAGCCATCCAATCACGACATGTGTCGCGAGAATTTGACTTCGTTGCACAATAATAGAGAAGCATCGAGAGGCAGCTTGTGGTTTCCTTAATCCAAGGCATGTCACTTTTTGTTCTCCAACTACTGTATGTCAGTATTTCAACAGAGCCAATTTTCAAGGGTACCCATACATCGAATACTGAGCCCCCTTCACTATTTCTAGTGGGAGGTTGTTAATTAAGGAGGCTGGTAGAGTATCGTATACCATACTGGGGAACCCAATTGGTACATAGAGTACGATTCGATCCTCTGCGTTCAATTGGTTAAATTCCTGTACATCTGTACAGTGACTGTCGAATACCCTTCGAAGATTAGCCAAGTTGTCGTTCACTGATCGTTTCTCAGGGTTGAAATGGCGACTGTAGGTGGTCTCCATAGGTTTTCCGCCGGCGGCGGAGAACAACTGATGAAGTAGTACCAATGAGTCTGCGTGTTTTGCCTTCCACCGCTTGTCAGCGGTGCAAATCTTTCGAAAATTTTCATGCCATAATTCATTAGTTTGGCTATTGAGGCTCGGGGCAAGAGAAGCACAAAGTTTGAAGAAGCAATGCTGAATGTGATCCGGAGCTGCCTATATAGTGTCAATGGCTTATGTTCAAACGAAATTTGCAGAAGCTTACCTCCAACTGGCAGTAGAAGGCTGCCCAATCCTCGAAGTATACAGGGAAGCCGAGATCAAGAAGGCATTCGAAGCAAGAGTCGGCAATTGAGACGGTACAGTAGTCATGGTCGGTTGTGTCTAAGATACGTACGGAAGGGAATTGATCAACATGCAATCTCCAGAAACTGTTTTTTTGTAGGAAGCATGCCGGGACCTGGCAACGTAGCCACGCTTCGCCAACGCCCCGACGTTCTGAGAGCTTGGAAGGGATCTCTTGAATGGTCTACAAAAATGAGTGGATGTTGGAATCATTGGGCTGCGCACCTTACCGTTTCAAACTGTACCATATAGGTAATGGCGGGGGACTTTTTACTCGCATTTGCCAATGGCTGCACTTCGCTATGAGGGTAAGAAGAGGAGGTAGCGACAACCTCCACGGTGATTGCCGAAGACATTGGGTTTGACTACCGCGGCGAGGCGGGCGGGCCAGATGATCTGAGTACAACTGAGCACTGTAAGGGCGTGGCAGGTATGAGAACTAAGCTGACTAGGTAGTAATACTTTATGCAGGTGGAAGAGGCAGAGAAGGCAACCGAATGCTACTGCAGATGTGCAATTTCGCAATTTTGGGAGAGGAAGGGGCAGTGATATTTGTATTTTGAGGCCCCCTACTTGCTCGTGCAATCAACCATGCGAATCGGCGACATCAAAAACACCCAGGGATAAAATGCTCCCAAATGGGGACATGCGGTCTGGAGAGGGGCGTATGATGACTTCAATAGCGCTATAGGTTTCGGAGCTACGGCACCCCTCCCCTAGTTCCCCGGCTTGACTCCTCGCCCCCACCATGTCTCCAAAGGGGCGTGTGGTAATTCCGAAAACACATGAGGATTCGGAGATGCCGCACCCCTCCCAACTTCAAGGCTCTACCATCTAACCGCCAACATATCTCTGTGCTCCTTGCCCTTCACAAGTTTCACACGATTACACCAAAACACACCGTAATCCGCCCTTTGCGCCCTCGCCGAGACACATGGATTCACTATCAACGACATACCTGGGACATTTTCGTTCATTTCGGATAACGCGTAATGGAGACTATTACATTGTCTGGATCCTCCGCGAAATAAACGGACATTTCGTTGCTGAGAAACTCTCTGCCTCCACTAATGCGTCCCAAGATGGACGCTGTTTCGATGTTGTATCATTGGTACTCCCCTGTTGCAGCGTTGCCCCCACTGACGTTGACGGGGAGCAAGTATTCCTTCATGCGTGTTTGATATCTCGGTGAGTAGGCAGACCATTCTATAATTCTTATCTAATTATGTGCAGGTCTGTGGATCTTCCTACTACGTTGGGATCTACAGCCTGTTGCCCAAACGAGCATTCGCCATTTGCTTCATCACAGTCGTGCCCCGGGAATCTAGACGCGTTGCATCGGCCATGCATCCCGTCAAACACCACGGAACCCTGGCCAATAAGCCAAGCGTCTGATTTAACTTCTTCAAACGCCAGTGCAACGACATCTCGCCTCGCTGAGCGAAACAGGAAGCGGATGTCACCAAACGCGCCGAGTCAGCATGCGCCGATTAAAAGGAAGTTGACAGCCACGGAAGCTGCAACGCGCCTTTCTACTCAACTGTCCTCCTCCGTTAAGAATTTCTGTGAGCAGAGAATCTTGGCGAGTGATAATGATATAGCCCAAAGGCTGATACAATGCCATGAACTTCTCAAATCAAACCCCAATGAAGTGGATGATCAAGTTGAACAGTTGCAACTATGGCTGCAACAAGGCCAACAACAATCCAATCTACATTTTTCTGCCTTACAACATCTCCTCTCTTGCGTTGATCTCTATAATTGGTGGGACCGGAGCGACGAGAATACGGAGAAAACTGTTAACAAAAGGCGTTGGTTTGACACACAACTCGCACGATACAGGAACAAGCTGGCGAACGAGCTCTGTAAGACTAAAAACGGTACGAGTGACCGTCTAGGTTTGGTAACCTTGGCACCCATGACTGGTAAGTGGTTCTCCAGAAACTGCCGTATTTGCTGATCAGTTAAAGTCAAGGGACTTAAGTTCGCGCATCTGGATAAAGCAACAGACCAAAACAAAACTGAGATAATTCAACACTTCGCCTGCCTCGCTCGTCCAGAATTAGAGAAGCAGCTAAAGGATTCAAGAGTTATAAAGGCAATAAATCCTGTGAGCTTTGTCTGTTGGTTTCTGGGCAAGCCGTACGTTATGTATTCTTTCGGTTTTGTCTCTGCTAATAATACCAGGTTTAAAGATGTTTGTGAGGCTCTCTCCTTCACTGAACTCTCTTTCAACGACTGCGGCCCAAGTTCAAATATTTGGCATGAAATACAAGGTCCTAGCACGGCAGAAGTTTTTAATGGCAGCAACCTACCCTGGCCACTCCTAGTAGCCGTTAGAACTGAAGAAAGTCAGCAAAGCGGTAGTCATGAAGAGCCCATGGTCACTGGGTTAAGCTTTTCCGAAATTCTGGAAGATACAGAAGGCGCTCTAGGCTTTATGTAGATCTAAAATCCAGTTGTGTACAGCTCTTGATTAACTGTCTTCCTCTACATTGAGGGCTTGGTTCCACCCTCCTCTCCCCTGTGGCATGAAGTTTGCGACATGCACTGTCGACACCAAAAATAACTCTTGAACCTCTCCTGCTGCGTCATCTCCATCTGGAACGAAAAGTCTTTCTAACTCTTCAAGAACAATGACATCACCGACTTCCAAATTGCGCCGGGAATGAGCTGGAATGTTGGTACTCATTGAAGATGTAATACTGACTGCAACCCTCTCGGTCTGAGTAGCAGTCGTTTGAGCCTTAAGAGGATTTGGCAAAACAATTGAGAATGAGACTTCATTTCTATCCACAGAGATCTCGCAGCGTCTTAGCCGGATGATCTGAGGACCATGTTTGGTTAGTTTGTCAAGAAGAAGCCCTTTTCCCTTTGCCCACTGGAATATATCATCTCGCTATCGACCAATCAGAATAACAGTCTAAAAATTCATATTAGACATACCTTTCCCTCATAAAAACACCTGACAAGCTTCATGGCAGATTCGGGCAGAAGTGGTCTCGGAAGTCGAAATGCACCAGGCATAGCTGGAGCAGGAATCATATCCTCAAATCGAAAGATCACCTGCCTCGCACTGCGATTTAACTCCTCGTGAATGCTGTCTTCACTTCCAAGCAAGAGCATTCTGAATGGTTATGGGACGTTGACAAATGAGTACAGGTCAGAGAGAGCGGCGGGTAAGGAAGAGAAGAAGAGGGAAACAAATTCAAAAAGAGTATAATTTATATATGTATCATAAAGCCCGGTTGTTAATTACTCTTCTGGATTATGATGCCTGATGCTGTGTTTTTTCCAACCTAATGCGTCGATGGAGAGGCTGAACCTGGAAGCCAGGTGGAATTGTCTCATACTAACCTGATTCCGACCAAAGTCACGTGAGGCCAGTATGAAGAAGGGCGTGCTTACTCTTCATTTGAAGTCTTGCCAAATGAATACAATTGTGAGGGAACATATCTTATTTCTCAATCCAAAGACAAGGTACTGATCGACAAATTTCCTATTAATTATTTCATCTCCATTGGCCATAATGAAGCGGGCAGGTTCATTATATCCACCATTCCTCACCAAGTATTCTAATCCTGCTCATCATGGTTATGAGAAATTCGATTGACTCATTTGGGGTCTTACTATTTCCTATTTACTTGAACCCGACCTTCTTGTCTGATGGTTCTAGAACTTGACTAAAAGACCCTCTTGACGAGGTACTACCACCATTCGGAGGAGCTGGTGCAGGTACAGGAGGGTGAGGATGGTTGGTGCCATGAGTAGGGTCGCCTTTTTTATCGCTCTGCTCTGGCATTTTGGGAACTGGAGGAATACAACAAACGGGACTATGGTAAATAGGCGCAATAACATCAAAGGGGCATTTTTTGTACCCATTAAGTTGTTGCAGGAGATATTCGTTCCAGAATTGTTGTGATGAGGCTACCTTTTAATAGGATGGTGAGTGCTCTTATAGCTGCCAGTTGAAGTCACTACCATAAAGAGCCAGTCCTTGTGCCCAAAGGAACTATGAGACTTTTCCGCCGTTGCTGCAACCAGAGCAAGGGATATCTCGTCTCTTTCCCAAACCCTGGGCTGGGACAACATGAACACGTCAAGAACCTCTTCACATCTCGCCCCTCCCCCCGCTGTCTCATACGAGAAGGCGTCAGCTTGCGTGCACACGGGTTGGCCCTGGACTCGCTCCAGTTACATTGACCAGCAGCATCGAACCGGGCCAGGTACCTACTGAGTAAAGCGACTGTGGATAAGAGCCTCGCCATAGGATACATGGGAGTAATTCATGCAGATGGGGCGCTGGGTTCAGCCAAACTCTACCTCTCTTGGCCAACCATCAATACAACAAGCCAACTGGGCTAAGCCATTGGCCTAGCAATGCATGTAATACTACAGACTAGTCCCTCTATAGCCCAAAAGTGCTACTGGGTGTCTCTCTATCGCACGGTCTCTGTTAGATAAGGCAATCGTCCTGGTCTAGGCCAGATGGACAAGGATTAACATCACTAATTACCAGCACTTTGATCTCAAAGACGTACTAGATTTGAAGCTTGAGGCTGTTGCAATAATAAATAGGTCTAGTAAAGCAATATATAGAATTCTCTCTCTAGTAGTTTAATAGACTAATAGAATTTATATAAAATTGGATTCTAAGTTATTATCTATTTCTATAACAAATATCTGTTAATAAGCAGGACGATTTTAAACCAGTAAAGGCTAACCATAATGCATCTAATAAAATCAGGTATGCGGACAGACTCTGATCAGGGCGCAGATGGTTGTTTGACCAGGATGCGGATGGTTGTCTAATCAGGATGCGGATGGTTGTCTGATCAGGACGCGGATGGTAGTCTGACCGAGACGCGGATGGTAGTCTGACCAGGATGCGGATGGTTGTCTGATCAGGACGCAGATGGTTATCTGACCAGGATGCGAAGTGGGTCCTGAATATCTCGCACCTTCCCCTTTTCGCGAATGGCATGTGACACGCCAGGCACCAATTTCTATCAGGCAGCAATTGGCGCCAGGCATCAAAAAACTGGGGTATCATCATATTCTTCTTGGGCAAATATCCTCACTGCCCAACAAGGACAGGACTGCTATATTCTATCAAGCGCTCAACCATGGAACACGCTGGTATGCCAAACACTCGCGATAGCCTCGCAATCTGAGCAATATAGTTACTTAGTGGGTGGTGCCCTCAGCTCCTTTCGTCGTGTCTTTGACTAACTTTCACAGTACCGAATAGCCGCAGCAGAGTCCCCGAACCGCACGATGGCAAGCAGCACGAAACGCATCGGCGAGGATGCAGAGAACGGGATTAACGAACGTATTACGGGCTACCATACTTTTGTTATCCAAAAACCATCGACGATTACTGCAGACGGTCTCCTCGTAGGAGTTACGCGCCATGGCCAACTCGGCGAGGAAAAGACCGAAAAGTCAACGGGAGCAGCGGGATGGGATGTGGAATTTGGCGATCGTGTCAGGGTGTTTAATGTCAATGTAGTAGTCAAACCACGGTGATATGCGTGGAAACAGATTGGCTTCGAGAAAAGGTGTTATTACCTGAACTAAGTTCTCTGTTCATTTGAACTATCGTATTTCAGATACGTGTTGATCTCCCAACCAGCCATATACCCAACCTTGATAACCAATGATATGTCATTTATTTCGTTCGGATATACCAGCGCGATAATAGAATTTGTTTGCTGCTGCAACTGCCCGGAGGATGCATCTTTCAATCTTTCCCAGCGCCATTGACGGCTTGTCTTGATCGCATCCAAAATCGGGGAGTTCTCGAAGAGTTTCTCAACTCGACTTGCGTCTGCACCTATCATTTGTATGACGGCTCCTGATGCTATCAATATAGGAATGTTCAAAGAGAATTTTACACTTACTCCCTCGCTCAGCGGCATGTGGTATTTCATTTGGATCGATTGTATCATTCATGGCAGCTTCTAATGCATCCCGTGAAACTTGCAGACAGCCAGTCTCACCAACATCACAAAACGAGCCCGTGTCGGTGGGCATGGTTGCGGGCTCATGCGGAGATTCTTGAGACATTATACGCGGATTCGTCACGACGTCAAGCACGACGTCAAGCGCGTCTCCAGTTGTTGTCTACTTAGTTAATTGTAAAGCAAGCAGGCACCAGCACTCACTGGAAAGGGCTGTGCTCCAACCTGAATGATTTTGCCCGCAAATCTTTCCGATAAGTTGCACTATCTCTTCCAAAGTGTCTGGTAAGATAGAGACGACGCCTATTACGTCTTTGAACAATCCTGGAAACAAAGGCGTGAGGCCACGTGCCGTGAGGTCTTTGGTCAAGCCCGGAGTTAAGGTATAACAGCCCAGAATGAAAGTCTTAAGTCCGCTCAACGTTAAGTCCTTCGTAACAAGAGGTAGAAGAAGTTGAGAGTATTCGCTATCAGTCAGAGATTTGATCATGTTCCCCTGTATCATCGCATGATTTCTCGCAAATTGTCTCCGGCCAAGTTGTGCCAGCTTAGCTTTTTGAGCGTCAGCTAGCTTCCGGACCTCGTAGAAGCACTGGGCAGCTCGGACTTTTGCAGTATAATCATTATTGTCGCAACCTACACCAAAAAGGTAGAAGCGATCGTTTTCTGACAGATCAAGTGGCTTGTCCATAGTTGCAGACCTTTGTGGGGCGATGAACTTAACGGAAAGGTTGGGCAGAATCTGAACCGAAGCCTGAGGGAAGTCTGACCAGGCGTCGGGTGGAAGTCTGATCAGGATGCGGATAGAAGTCTGATCAGGAGTCGAAGGGCATGATGAGGGGTTAAAGAAGCGACGATTGGTCAGTTGACCCAGTATTTGCCGAGCAGGCTCCACATAAAGATCGTTCATTGGCTGTAGGGTATGAGGGAACGTGGATGCATTCCATTGGCTTTGAAAATCATCTACGAGATTCTCAACAAAGTTAGCGATGTCTGGTCTTTTATTTGGGGGCTGATTGAAGCCGAGTCTTCCTGGTCTCTCTAATGTGATAAGGGCGAGTTCTGTCAGGTGTATACTGTAAAAAATAATATAAAAGGAGTATCTTGCAGCTTCTTGATTTATATATCACGCAACTTCTTCTTCAACGCCGCACTTTTTCGAAGATCTACTTGCCTATTATGTCAACCAATCCTAATGAATCTGGGGACCGAACCTCAAAGGAATCTATTCCTATTATAGAAGAGGCGGAAGCTATCACTATTTATAAACCGCCAAAAGATGAGGACAAGGCCCAGCTCGTCTCATCTGGAGACGCTGCTCGAAGAGTTCGGGGAAAAGGTCCAAGCGCTACTACTGACAAGGAAGATAAGAAGTAGTATATGTAAGTATTTCGTATTGTCAACTGAATAAAGGACTTATTAATAAACAAGATAGCTATGACACCTCCAAATAGCATCCGCTGCGTTAGCGTTTGTGATACTCAAACAAAGACTGAAGTTCGTCCTGGTATCTTTTCTCGTCGGCGACTTTAGCTTTTATATGATGGCTGGAATTTTCCTGCCAGAACAAGGACACCTGTTTGAGATCCTTGATCAAGCCTTGAACAGCAGAAAACTTGGGAATAATGTGATCCTCAACAATAAATAGCCAACCGTTCAGAGATCTTATACAGGCCCAATACCACACTCCCTTTGAATCCCACATGTCTCTTATTACCTCAGTTATCTGAATGTCATGTTTCATTGTTACCTTCTGTAGTTCCTCATCCATACTTGCGAGAAACTCCCTCCGCACCTTATCGAAAGACTCATACTGTTCACGAATGATTTGATCTATGCTGCAACCCGTAAGCCAATAAGGGACAGACAACATTTCCACGGGAAGTGAGCAAAACCACTCCAGATCGATCAGGCAGGTAATGTTCCATTCGTCATCCACAAATATGTTGCTCTGATGAAAGTCGGTGGGCTGCAAGAGGTAAGGACCACCGCGTCGCTCGGGCAAGACGAAAAAGTGCGTGACTGTCCGAAGTAGTGCTCGAAGGGCCATTCTTTCTTGGGCATCATCCTCGTCTCTCACGGCATGTGAATCATGAAGCAGATAGTTATCATGCAGAGTCAGCATGTCAGACGCGAAGCTGTCTGTGTTCTGATAGCATCGCTCGGGCGGGATTACCCTAGGTGTTCCACTTTGCTCGAAGATAGCCATAGCACAAGTAAGGGGCCGATTCGATAATGAGACTGTGCAACTCCTGGGGTTGAATTTAAAGGACCCGATATGAGGTAGAGGGACACGCGCAAGCGAAATCATAATGCGAGCCAATCCTCTGAATAAGTTCTTTCGCCGTTCGATATCAGATAAGTAATTGGGCCATGTGAGTGAGAGCATTTCGCCTGTCTCAGGGCCAATATGTTCCAACAGTAAGTACGCGGTATTCACGGTTGGAGCGGCCGAGGCTTGCCTGTAGTCTGATAGTAGTGGAAGATGAAGGTGCCTATAAATCCATTTCCAGGCCTTACGACAGAGTTTGGTGTAGACTGAGGCGTGCCGGATGTGTACAAACTAGAGAGAAATGAGTACATGAATAATCTTTGTGAAGGGCGACAAGCTGGGAATACTAACACTAGTACTGTCTGTAAAGCCAAATGCAAAGAGATTTGGAATACGAACATCAGGGCAATGCTCGTACATCCATACGTATGTCGCCACCTCGCAGCTGACCTTCTCATCGATCGAGCCAGGATGATAGGACTCAGCGAACTTATGGGGCATGGGGCAGCGGAAAATTAGCTTTCTGCTTGAGTCGGCTCTTTTCACATCAACGAGAACGCAGATGTTGAACCCCCCTTGTAACCAAGATTCGCGCGGTAGAACTGTGCAAATAGCACTCTCAGGCAAACCAAGATGATGCCGGATCAAGTTCACAATAGCTTGCCTCTGATGCCAAAGTTCGAGCTTAAATTTTTCTGCGGCATCTTGGTGGGTGTACAGGAGAAGGAGATTCCTTTCCGACTCAGCGGCCGTCTCGAGCGTATGGAGTTGGTTCCCAAATAGGATTTGCCGAGCCATTATGAATACATAAGATCGTTGAGGAATGTCAAAAAGGGCTGAGAGAATTGGGATGCAGATAAAGGGGCAGACATAAGTATCACGTGATACTACCTATTAAAGCAATGAGCCCCTAGTAGAGATTTGATTGGTTCGGCAAAACACTTCTCCGAGCAAGCGAGATCGTACAGAGCACTGGGTGGACATTACTGGAAGGCCTAGGAGGGCTTGATGTATAATGTAATGGTGTAACGTCTTAAGTAGACAGATGTCATTCGCTGGTAGAGAGATAATGCAGTAAATATTAACATGAATGCGCTTCTACTGATTATTAAACTGGCTCAAGAATAAGAAAAAAACACAGAAAGGACTGTTTTTCAAAGTGAAGTAGCCTCAAACTCAGAGCCCAACCCAGCTTATGTAAACTCGCTGGTCTCGAACGCCAAAATGACCTTGGCGCCAAGATCCCACTTATCGACCCAAATATTCTCAGAATCTTGTTGCCCTTGCCACTTCACCTCATAGAGGACGGTCCCCCCCACAACCTGCTTTGAGACAATTCTCTCGAAGCAAAAAGCGCCCTGTCCATGGGGATGCTTGGCTTCATAAAAGCCTATGGCTCCTGTGCCGATGTCCTTCTTTTTCACCCAGCTATTATCACTCTCAGGATAGCCCTTCCACTTAACCTGGTACCAAACTCGCTTTCCGATGCGCCCCTTGGCCACCAATTCCTCAACATCGAACTCGACACCTTCTTGGTCCAAAGAAAGAGTCCTGTCAGGGCCTTGTTGGCCATGGTTGTCTTGTTGAGGGACTCTAGTAATAGATTCTTTCCTGTTATCTGTCTGGCTAGGTTGGATTACATCTTCCGGAGCCTGGTTGGCTTTACCAGCTGGTATTTCCTGAGATGGCGCATCAACATTCATAGGATCATTAATATTAGTCCTACCGCATTCGTTCGCAGTATTCGAAGTGACAGAGAGAGAGTCACACACGTTCGCTGCCATAATGGTTAGAATCGATCATCATATGAGTCTCGACGAGTCATCATACCTTGATCTTTCTGAAAACTTATTGTTCCTTGGGGGGGACCATTAGAGGCCGCGCATCCCGTAAATTCATCATTCGGGCATATTTCCACTTGGGACATGGCCGGATCGATTATAATCTCTGTCGGAACAGACGAAAGGGGCGTACTGCATGCGGATGGCCCGGCATCTACATAATCAGTAGTGCTAGAGCTGTAAAAAGGCGTGGACTCTTGGGAAAGGTCTGTCAATCTGGGAGATGGCTGCTGCTTCAGGTCATGTGGATAGGTGTTATGGAAGTCGTACTGGGGCTGCAATGGGTCCATCTCGTCCATGTCTTCAGATTCATCGTCATGATATCGCACTTTCTTAATCTTTGAAGGCGGAATATCCTACACCGAAAGCGTCTTGAAGATGGAACTGCAAATCCAACACGGAATCGAAACTTCCCGGACAGTGTCCATGCTGGCGTGGGCATTTCAAGGGCATAGTCCCTTTTGTGAGCGCTCTGATGTGATTTTGGATGTGATTGAGTCAGGTCCACCGCGTCTGAAATTGATACATCCGTGTAGAAGCTTGCATTCGCTCATCTCCGAGGCAGAATGGGCAGTAACCGGCTCTGGCGAGGGCCCCGCCGCAAGTCAGAGGATCGCACCACGTCGGAAGGCTGTTTGGGTGATCCAAGTGATGCTGACAGTGCGCTTCCCAGGTCCTGATGCCGCAGAACCATTCATTGCAAAGGAAACATAGCTCCGAGAAGCCATCGACTTCTGTAGAGGCTGTTTTGTAGCCATCGTATACGTGTCGCCAATCGTAGGTAGATCCATTATCTTTGCATTGACATTTTTCCGGTTCCAGTCCGGGCCGGTACTCGACATTGCGGCGCTTTTGGTAAAGAACCAGCATATCATGGAGCATCGCGAGACCTGCAGGGCTTCGAAGTGTATCACTGATACTGTTTTCAAGTGGCTCAAGGTCGATCGCTATTAACTTACTTTCCAAGCCAGTACATTCGGTGACATTGAATTGAGATTCGGTTGGTCCTGATGTGGAGGTAAAGTCTCCCTACAATGGTTCAGAACATGAATTGAGTACCCGTTAGGTATGTTGAATCGCTCAAGGGTGTTGCAAGTTAGGTTGAGAACAAAATCTCCAGTTTGGCTTAAGATATCATCATCCTTCGAAGTCACGCCACTGAAACCTAGCTGGTCCAGCTTGGGAAAATTGATCTGTGAGCCAGCGGATGTCAGACCGATAAAACTTCGTTTCTGTTTGTTCAGGACATGCGATGGCAACTTACTGGAAATCTGTTCGTGATGGCGTAATCTTGAATTGATGAGCACCCTGAGTAAAGGAAGTTAACTGATATTGTACATACTGTAGTCGGTCCATTGATCCGTATTTACTGTGTACCATTGCGATTGAAACTGGCTTCCATTTTCACACTCTTGACATCTATTACCTTGGAGCTTAGGTACGGCTTATACCCAATGACCAAAATTGGCCCATCTTAGCCTTTTGAACCCGCTTCTTCTGGCCTTACCAACGCTGCCCGTCTACACCCTCAGAGTTTCTTTGTGGGTCACAATAGTTACTGCTGACATGAGTCATGGCGCACAGTCCATGCCGGGCCAAACGGGGTGAGATGAGGCGGTTAGTTACCCCCAGGAGGCATTAATCCAGAAAATAGCTTCAACTGATTACAAGGTCATAGTCCATCTGATGCTACTGGCACACCTTGCACTAGTCGTCACGCAAGCAGCGGCATACTCGGACGAAAACCAGATATCACTTATGGAGTATCTACAACTCTTCGAGAATATAGATTGTGGCAGGATAGAACGATCAAGCGCCGGATTTCAAGGTGATCCAAGATATGGTATGGCTTACGGCCCTGGCCGGCCTGCCAGAACCGCAGCCCCTTTTTCACTTCCTGCCGCGGCAGATGACTTGGAAAAACCCTAAAAACATCAGCAAAACCAGTATCAACGGAATAGTGTCCCATATGGAACGATAACTAGCCTAGCAAGGCTTCTTACTCCAATTGGAGATTGGCGGGCGCTTAGACCGTAACACGGAAATGAACAAACAAACAAACAAATTTATCGCCGAAGTTCAGTGGTACCTTGCGACAAGCTATGTCCTTCAATGGAGTATGTTGAGAAAATTTATCGGGAGGCAGCGTTTCTATGCGAGTATGCAATCCTTTATACTGTGCAGGAAGACAGACAATGAGCATTGTTTATGACAAAAGAAGATAACATACCTAAGCTACTATCTGAAAGAGACATGACTGAGTCCTTTTACGCTTCACTCTCTTTCTCAACCTATGAGTTCAGCTGCCATTCTCCCCGATGGTCTTGACCAGCGATGCCTGAAGGTGACTGATCACCTTCCCGCAGGCAATCCTTAATATTTTCTCCTCGTTGTCAGGGTCACAGTCACCCTCAAAGACGTTAATGGCGTGTCTTGCGCCAGGGAGGTATAGATTCATGGTTCGAGGGACGGGCTCCCCTGGCTTTCGGTCTTTAGACCAATCCCCTGGCACCTTATTAAGCCAGATCTCCATGTCACGTACCGCAGAAGTTATTTTCCACTGACATCCGTCGCGGCCACAATAACAAACTGGCACATCTTGCGATTTTAGACCAATCGTGACTCTAAAATATGCTGGAGGAACCCCTAGGCCGTAGTTGATGGTAATCGCGTCTCCAGGATTGATACGCCTGGCGCTTTGAAGGAACAGCCTCGGGCCATTGCTGTCCAAAAACTGGATGACAATGCAATTTGGGTCGCAATTATGGTTGGCGAACCTCGCAATACTGCCTTTGTATGTTGAATCCAGCCACAGATGCTCAGGTCCTCCCAGAGACTTGACCTCAAAGTTAAAATGTCCCTTTCGAATGTTAGAAGGTGTCGTAGAACGAGGAATATCCTTACCTCCGTGATACTACCTCCATCTTGCTTCTCTCTTCGAGCCATAAGCTCGTTGGTCGAGATAAGTTGTCCTCTGTATTCAGCAATCAGACGTTCCGGATCTTTCCCTACAGGGCCATTCCAGATCAGTTCCTTTCCAAACCTTGGATTCTCCCTGATTTCAAGATCTTGACTGAGTTCACCTTCCTTGCGGGCCCAGGTTTCGAGCCAGCGATTCTGGCATTCTTCTCTGCCAATACTGCATGTTTTGTCGTCACACAGGATGGAGCTTTCTTTGTTAGTACAATTCTCTGTACATCCCTCGTCGGTTCCATTCTTGGTTCCCTTCTTATTACACTGGCACTTTCCGTAGCCTTCCGTTATTCTTCTTATTTGTCTTTCGACGGACTTATGTATCTCATCTGATCTGGTCAACGAGGGACCTCTAGGAATAAGGCATAACTCACTGTGTTTTATTTCTTCCCATGATATTCTGTATTTAGGAAGCGAGCACTTGCCTTGAAGAAGCTGCCTGGTCTTGTAATTTTTCGACATCCGACTTTCACTCTCTGCTGCATCAATATTCCGGCTATGCATCCCTGGGTTCACCGTATAATTCTGGGTACCGCAGTGTAAAGTGGTGGATCCCGTTTCCGAAAGCATATCCTCGTCAACGGTGGTACTTTGGTGAGGATTCTCAAGTGATTGCTGGGTGTTATGCGTGATGAATGATGTAGGTGCCGTAGATAGAGTTCTAGTCGGCTGCCGTATAGATACCGGCGGGCCAGTCGCAATTTCCCCAACTGACGAATATCTTTTGTTATCCGTTTTGGTGTGATGCCTTGTGTATTTCTTCTTCGGGGCTTTGAAGAATCCTGCTCCGGCCTTGGAGCCATTTATTAAATTTGTGAAATATTGGACAACTGTTTGGTTCGCTGTAAGATTCTTTTTTTCGCGCTCGAGCTCCTCTTCGAGCCATTTCAATCTCATTTTGCTCTTTTCGACGTTTATTTTGGCTTTTTCTAGATCGCTCTTGAGAAGTCCTTCTACCAATTGCTCAGGAGTATTCGTCTCGGCTGGGCCTTGCTGTATCCCTAATATGGCTGTTGGACCGGGTTCTGGCGCGGATTTTTTGTTGCTCGCCAGTAGATGATCACAAGTGACACCTATTACGGCCGCAACGGAGGCTGAATGAATATCTGGCTCCATTGATGAAGTTTCTTGTTCGATTCCATTGTCTCCCACTGGTTCATCGTAAGCGACTGGCCTTATGTGTTTGATACTGGTACTGGCAATAATATCGGTATCACTTGTGTTCAAAAGTTCTGGCTTGATACTGGGAGTGATTCTGCGGTGTTGTATTGCTTCCTTGCTTCTTTCACAGTTTCCTTCGACAGCGTCATCATCGTCTTCGTTTGTAAGATCGATGATGTCTGATGGAGGTGACCGATAGCCAGAAAAGGTCTCTCGGTTTCCTTGATGATATGTTGTTGTCCGGTTTCGACTGGCTTGTGTTGCAAGCCTGCCACTATCTTTTGGGTCGGTCGCAGGCGCATGTTGATTCTGTGGACGGCGAGTATCTGATTCTCTGGGGTCGCGTTTCCGTTTGATCCCGGCTGCCTCCCATCGATCAGCAACCGTGCCTCTTTCCGTACTATTCGCTCTCCCTGTGGAACCAGAGACTACTTTTTTTCGTGTGGCAGGAGCCATGTTGGATGAGAGGGGATGGGTACAGTGAGTGTGAATGAGTCGCGCAATGAGAGCACTTCACGTGGAAGTCTGAGGGGGTCGAAATTTGACACTAGACGAACCTGTAGCAGGCAAACACATTTAGTATCAATCAATTCTATAGTTGTACGTACCCTGTTTGCAGATTGTGCATCTACCAGGTCAGCTCTCGTGTTGCAATTGTGGCACGTACAGGCTACTTATGAGAAGACGAGCTGCATGAAAGGGAGCTAGGCCCTCTTCCAGGAAAGTCGTTTCGAAATTGAGCAAGTCGCTAGATTGTGCGCTCCACTTTATAGGGGCTTAGGCAGCCACCAATCTAGGCTATGAATGTGACGTGGAAAGAATTGGAAACGTGACTGGCCAACCTTGTTCCATGGAGGATCATTTGAGGTATCGAGAGCCTGCCGTTTTTGTGTGCTATTTTGGGATTAGATGGCCCGTCCGTTGGATGGCCCTGCTAGAGCAGCAGGGACTTTGTGGGCCAGTTATCTGACAGCAGCAAGGAACTAATGAAAGCTCTTCAGTCTAATGGCTTTTGCTATTCATGAGGAAAATTGAGAAAAAGTCACCCTCCTTAGGATGTGTAACAGATTAGCTCACGGCCGCATTGAAGAGTCCCAAACACTAGACCTGAGGTCTTGTATTCAATTGCCCTCGGTAAGCTTGGCATGGGATCAAA